ACGTTAACTAGTGTTTCTTTTGTTATGTTCGACATTTTTTCATTGCGATGATAAAAATTCTATAGAAATATTAATTATCTGAAGGTTTTACAATAAAAAAATTTCAGGCAACTGGAAACAAATGTTCATTCTACTAAATTTTCAGTAGCAAATTTGGACAATCTTTTCTTCTGTTCACAAACAGACGAAAAGATGGTCCAGGTCAGCGTAGAGCTGAACCTTGAAGTATGTGTATCTGAAATTCAAGCAAGGGAAACATTTAAAACAGTAGTCTGTTCAATGATCATTATCTCGGAGCCAGTTTCTGCTCAAAGGTAGTCCGTGCTTGTCTAAATGATAGCATAACTGAACCGAAGTGTGAATTTCTAATTGCTCAACTTGCTATATGCAAATGCAATTCGATAATTATCATTAGTGTTTACACACAGTTTCACAGCTGACTGAATCTACTCCACATGAAGCCGAGTAGATCGATTGATATCAACCAATTAATAATAGATCAGTTGTAGGGCTACACATTTACTTTGTCTGAGAAGAACTTCATTCGTAAATGGAAACGTGAAATTGATGACCAATTCAGGCAAAGAGAATTGGGTATCGACAGTCTAAAAAGTTTTTAAAAAGCTTCATGATTTGAAAAAAGCATTTTACTCAGTTGAACTGTTATCAGTGAGAAACCTGATCCATAATATGATGAGAAGTTTCATGAAAAAATTGCTATGGAATAAGATTTTATTAGAAAAATAGCTTTCCAGAAACACTCGATGAATCTGTTGAAATTAGGAACTTTCAATATCGAGTTCCAACTGGAATATAGTTTACCTTGTGTGGAATTTCATTTTGAGTCTGTGACAGAACACATTTTTTTTCTAGTTCAGTGTTAGTTGTTCTTCAGTTCCTCAGCAGCCCCCTACGGCTATTGAGAATGAGATTTGGACTGCTGAACCAGAAACCTTCATTAAAAGTACACGGTGCTATGACCAGAAGGTCCAATAACTGATGGACATAACATATTGTTGATTTTTGATAATATAAACAAGATCAGTAGGTTCAGATGGAATTACTATTGATGAATCACTTTTATGCTATCCTTACTCATCATATCTTACTGATATTATGAAGATATGTTCACAAAATGATGGGTTTTACGATATATGAATTTTTGAATTAGATATCATATGGATACGTACAATATTTTTGAGAAAATATACACAAAGAGGGGTCTTATCACCCCTCCTTTGGAACATAGTTCTGGATACCCACACAATTATACATAATGGCATATGCAGATGACATAGTTATTTCACAGACCGCAAATTTGTGAACACACGAATTAATAGAAACATGATGTGAGGAACACTCACTGTCGATCAATCCTAAGAAAACTGAGATGGTCTTTTTCACCAGGAATAGATTTTATTGGACTCAGAACCTCCCGAAATTTTCAAAAGCGAACCAAACTTCTCTGAGGAAGTGAAATACCTTGGTACTACCCTCATGCAATACGCATGTATACATACGGCTCAGATTGTGGAGTTCACTCCATATTACTAAGCCTAAGGATTTAGTGGGGAATGGGAAGAAATACCAGCGTAGTCCAAACAAAACTGGCTGGTATCTCAATCGCCACAAAATAAATAATCAGAAAAGAAATTTCTGCACTGATAGTAGACAATCCCTATTAGCCTTGAACAGGCAACGGTTACCTCAGGTCTAGATGTATAAATACTATGAGTAGTAATATGTCCAAAGAACCTAAAAATTTAGGTGTCGAAACGGATGTATACTTATTTGAGGTTTACCAAACATGTCACAAAATGTATGAAGAGTACTTACAAGTATTTGCAAACAATTCATCCCCATCGTCGTTCATCACGAATTCAAATATGAAGTGAATCTGTATACTAGAGATGGCTTCGTTAAATGAGAACCATGAAGTGGGATTAAGAAGAATTACGATTTCTTCCACGAAAATAACATTTTTTTTGTACTTTGGGAGCTGTCTGACTTGTCCATTTAGTCCGAGTCTCCAGAAAACTCTGCAGCCTCTTGGGCTTATTGCGTTTATTCTCTCATCTTCTCATGACATCCATTCCATCAGTCTCGTTCCCTGTAATGATTTGTACAGGTTCCGTGTTGGATATTCGTTATATTCTTCTGAGCGTAATTTTGTTACGTCCATATATTGCCTGCCTCCTGTGATTCAGTGCCTCACATTCGCGTTAGATGTGTAGAGCTGTTTCTATCCCTTCATTGCATAATCTGCAGCTGAGGTCTCCGTTGTACAGCCTCATTTTATTCAGGTGTCCTCTGATTAGTGATCCTGTAATTATTTTGAGCTAAACCCTACTATATTGAAGTAGTTCTTCGGTTTTTTTCTCGGACGGTTCCCTAATGAAGGTTCTACTTTATTTGTTGCCAGGTACTTTTGTCCAGTACTCTGTGTACTTCTTATTGGTCCAGGTCCTAATCTGGTTTCGTACCAATTATGTTGGTACCCCCAGAGCTGATTCAGGACCTATAAATGTAGTTGCGGGTCTAGCGCATTCATCACCTTTATCATGACGTGTGATTCCTGAATGCCCTGGCACCCAGTACAAAGTTAATTTGTTCCTGTTCACAAGTTCATTCAGTTCTTCATGGCATTCCCAGACCAGTTTTGATGTCACCTTCGGGTTTGTCAGAGCCCCTATTGCGCTCTTGCTGTCTGTGAAAACATTGATCCGCTCATTTCTTTGAGGTCTCAATTTAATAAGCCTTGCACACTGCAAGATAGCATACACTTTCGCCTGAAAGTCGGATGTGTATAGTCCTAGCGGATAGCTGTAGTTTAGATTTCTATCCGCTCGGTATATTCCAGCTTCTGTTCCATGTTTGGTCTTCGATCCATCTGTATACCAGGTGTTTTTTCCAAACATGTTTTCGGGATGACTAATGGTCTTCCACTCTTCACGGCTTATGATTTTGGCCGTGAAGTTTGTGTTAAAGGTGTACTTCGGTGTCATGTAGTCCGTGCACATATTCAATATGTGCTCCTCCATTCGTTCCGAAATATCTGTTCGGTCCGATCTTTCGTATTTCGTTGAGTTTTCCAGTCTGAATTGGCCCATCCTGGCCTCCCCCATTATCACAAAGTGTAAAGGAGGTAGATTGAGGAGTGTCTCCAATGAAGCTGTTGGGGTAGTTCTCATTAATCCCGTCATTCCCAAACATGCAAGTCTTTGCACCTTGCCTAGTTTGTTGATGGCGGTCACCTGCTTCATCTTTGGCCACCAGACCAGAGATGCGTATGTTATCATGGGTTCAACCACCATCGTGTATAGCCAATATAACCATGTCTGGTTTTAGCCCCCATGTTTTTCCATAGGTGCGTCTGGCGAGCATCAGTGCCACATCCGCTTTCCTCTTTATCCTGTCCAAGTGTTGGTTCCAGGTCAGTTTGAAATCTAGGATCACTCCCAGATATTTAACCTCCCCCGACCCTTGTATTTCTTCATCTCGAAGTTTAAGAGGTCCGAGACCCTCCGTTTCAGTCCTCTTGGACGATTTGGATGGGCTTATGTTAAGCCCTTCTTCTTCGGTCCATCTTGTCATATGTTCAGGGCCTGCTTCATGCATCTCTTCACTAAATTATTGTATTTACCCTGGACTAAGATGACTAAGTCATCGGCATAGCCCAGTGCTTTATACCCATTATGGTACAAGACACATAGTAGCTCGTCCATTACAAGGTTCCATAACAGAGGGAATAGAACCCCCCTGAGGACAACCACTTGCTACCCGTTCCACGACTGTTTCCCTTATAATGCTTGTATATACCAATCTTCCCCTAAGCATGCAGTCTATCCAACTACAGCTTGTCTTGTCGATCTCTCTTCTCCTCGACGCCTGGATGATTGATTCTAACGACGTATTATCAAATGCGTCCTCAATGTCCAAGAAAGCAGCTAAAAGTACTTCCTTGTTTTTGAAAGTATATTCTACTTTTTCTGTTACCCGACATAGAGCCGTTTCTGTTGATATACCTGACCTGTATGCATATTGGTCTCGATGTAGTGGTCTGATAGCCAGTGATATGTCCCTGATATGCCTCTCAAGTAGTTTTTCCAGCGTTTTCCAACGCAAATGACATAAGGATAATTGGTCTCAAAGCCTTCGCCGAGTCCTGTCCGATTTTTCCAGGTTTCGGAATGATCAGTCTCTAAATGTTTGGTATGTGTCCCAGTACAAGGCTTCCCCTTGGAATTATACATAATTTTTTGTCACTTGCCAGTCCTCCCTGGATGCCCTTTTCGGGGTCTCCAGTTCTGAATTCGCCCAGGACTCCGGTGTTAGATTCGTAATTTCTTACCCGGGAAAGTGTACCCGAAAAAGCTCTCTGATAGTGTCTTCTCCGGTTTTTGTATACTCCCCCGTATTTGTTTTCAGATTATTTATTAAGACCTGAGGTTCCTTCAAGAGTATTTTGTAGAGCCTGGCACATGCTTGGGACCTCCTTACATTGCCTTCTCCACGTATGTCTCTTGGATTTTCTCAGGACTTTGTTATACTCAGTTAGGGACCTTCTGTATTGGTCCCATGAACCTGATTTCCTTGCACATTTGGAGGCTTCTCTAATTTTTTGTCTCATCCTCATCCCTTCCTCCCCTTCCTTCTACGAAACAAACATTACAGAAATTTGATTACAAGTTGATGAAAATGAACTTGTCTCCATATTGGCTTGAAGGTTTTCAATCTAATCTATAAAAAATGGAATGAACTAGCCCGGAGGTAGTGTTATCCTACCTTAACGGTTGTAGTGAAAATCTTCTTCTCTTCACCTGATTTTTCCTATAGAACTTTCGAAATCGATGCTTCCAAAATCTTCTAATGCACATATTTAGTTTGGAGTAAATTAGATCACCTATAGTGGAAAATATTACTTTCGATCAATTCTGAGGAAAGCATCAAAATGATGAAATTTCGATATATTCATATTGATCTTTACTCTGTTCTTTCAGGTGGTTTTTTCTGCCCCAAGTGGAGTGAGGAGTGGGTGGTACTCTACGAGGATTCCACATTGGCGTGGTATTCAGACAAGGGCCTCAGCAGACCGAAGGGCTACATCAGAATAAGCGAAGCTCCCGAGCTGCTAGCAGTAGGAGAATGGACGAGGCAAGTACCGAGAAGGCCAAGATTTCCACGAGCATGTCGCATAGGTGAGTGAAATGAAAAATGGTGGAATTTGCTGTGTCATGGTATGAAATCACGCTAAAAAGATTTTTTTTTACGTTGAAATTCATTTTGTGTGTATACTCTTTTTTAAAGGACAAGGTGTACTGAGTTGAACCTCAAAACGATGAGTAGCTACATTATTATAGTCGGTTGGAAAACATTCATCTTTTTGGGGAAAACTGATGCCTAGGTTTTTGTGGCATTGAGTTGAAGATATCAGTTGGTGCTGTTGAATCTCCAATCAGACACTGGCAGTGAAATATAAAACGAAGTAGAAGAATAAATGACAATCATGGCAATCAACTATGGAACATACAGAAACTCTAATTATTATCAGAGCATCAAAGTGAATAAATTTTATTCTCAACATCCAATAGTCGAAGTATACAAAATAAATTATTGTTCCATCCACGTGTTGGTACATTAGAATTGATCTCTTTTTATAACAAAGCTATTTGTAGGACAAATAGTGGATTATAAACTTGAAGGGGATGCCTAGTTCAAAAAAATTCAGATGCCTGAGTTCGTATCCAAATCCAAATACTTTCTATGAATGGTTGTATGAATGCTGTATGAGTTTCAATTCTGCAAAATCGAACTTCACTTACTACAGGACAACGATCTTCAAATATACCTGAGGTATCAGAAACCTCAAAGTATCAATACTTTTCTTTATATTTTACAAGACATAGAAAAGGACAAATGTTTGGGAACAAACTTTATCAGTATAACAATTTAAATGTCAGTAATAGCTGATCGGAGGACACTCATATTTATTATTATTCCAAATGGAATTTCATTCACTGTTTTCATGAGAATATGACTGAGAATGAAGTAGTGTAAAAGATCTTCATGAGTACTATTCTAATAACGATACATTCATACTAATCATCAAATTATTGTTTGGAAAATATAATTTCTCACTACAACTCATTTCAACAATTCAGGTCATTTAACTCTCCTGGTTTTTGCTAATTGGTAATTAAATATTTCTGATTACAGGTCAATTGCTTGCCATTGGAAGCAGAGCTCTTCGAGATGTGCATTGGCTTATGGCCCAATCACCAGCGGAAATCAAGTAAGCTCTTTGTTTTCGCCCGTTCATTTATTTTTCACAGTTTCTCCCCGAATAATCGAATTAGCAGTATCGAATTTCCAATAATGAGACTGTTTTTTATTTTCAGTGACTGGATGACAGCTATCAGCAATACGGTGAGTATGTTTGAAATAGAATGTTTTAAATTTTATTATAAATATTTTTAAAAGAGGTCAATCTCTGGGAAAAATTTGTTGGCATTCCACTTCCCTATATCTATGAAAAAAATACTTCCTCTTCCTCGAAAGTTTTCCAAATTTTTATATAAATATAGAGAGATAGAAAACAAAAAATGCCTTTCTCACTGAGTTTTATTGTCATAGTTATGCATATTCTCCGTGGTGTCATTACTTCAATTGACAGATATCTAGTATATGATCAATCAGTACATCAACAGCAATCAAACCTGCATTTAGAACAGGTGTTTGTTTTTTTTTGTAAGTCCTACAAAATTCTCGAATTCAGTTGGTGCTACTCCATGGCTCCTTTATATATTTTCGGGTATTTATGTGTTCCTACCTTCATATCAAACTAACCTCATCTGTTGAGCATGGTAGATTCATCACTAGTAGCTTCGTTTTTCACTGTGAGCCTTCACTAAGAAGCAACCTTCAGAGCACAGATTGAACCAGCTTTGCTATACGATTTACAGCCAGTTTCTCTACTTATGACAGGGTAAAGGACATCCAATTCCGATGAATTTAGAAGCATTCCAACATCGGAGCAGTAAGCTTGGCTGAACTTCGAAGGATATTGATACAATTTGTACATTGGTGCATTTATGTTTGCTGATCGCAGCTATCTACGAAGCTGATAGGTGTCTAATCTATTATTACATACATGTATCCTTTCAGAAGGAATGTGTCAACGAATACACGATGTTACCTTTCATCTTGAAGGGAGTTGATTATGAGATGTTCAGCACTTTACTTCAACTTCACCCCAATTGACCTGGAGGATATCGGTCAGGTCTTTGGAAAGGAAAGGTCGCTTTCAAGAAAAATTCTATGCATTTGTTGCTTCCTGCAACAGAAACTCATCACTTATATTCTCAATGTCAGCTTTTGGCTGAATGAAGTTTTTTCACCTCGTTCTTGATTTTACAAACCAAACCAACTTCGCAGATCATTCAAGAAGCTGTTCTCGTTCTTGTTTTTCCACGATATGGCTGGAGCCATATCAGGTGAATACAGTGGCTATTCGATTTGTGGAGTATTGAAGGGAAATTCGTTCACAATGATAGCCTTGTGGGAAGGAAAGTTATCTTGATGTGGAAACCTATGAGTTTTCCCTCTACAGGTCTGATCTTTTTCGGAACATCTCTTAGCATTCAGGAAATGTTTAAGGAAATTGCAAGTGCACACCACCGCGTCAATCTGAAAAATCTGTTAACATCGCCTTCACTTTCGATCGACTTTGACGAGCTTTTTTCTGTTTATTATATCGTTATTCATAACGTTTCTGATTGTATTAATTGTTCGTGTACCTCTAAGAACAGGAAGCCAGCTTTCATCAATATTTATTTTCAAATAAAGTTTGTGGAGAACAAATCTCAAGGTGTAGTTGATGAAATCACAAATTTACAGTTTCAAAAAACATTTGATGAATTTTAAAGAAATTCTGGTGACCAAATGGTTCTATTCCATAGATTACTTTTTCTGAAATTGATTTTCCATCTATGTCGATTCTCTTGCCCAGTTTATTTGTTCACATGTTAAGTCCTAGTATTCAGCTATTTTCATTCTGCTCTCAGTTTGCCTTTTTAGACGAACCCTATGAAACTTATACAGTTGTTAAATGGAGAATGAATTATTATTATTATTATTAACATACGATATATTTCCCAGTCATTCATATCATCTGATTTCCAATAGTCATACATTTTTTCGTCATTGTCCCACTCATTGACGTCGTCTGATATAACGACAATTGAAAAACTCCAACACAAAAATTTGTTTACTATTTTCCATCGACAAACAAGTAGCCACTCTTTTTGTCCCGTCTGGTCACTTGTTCGTTTTTCAAACGTTGTCCCCCACCTGCGGCTGTCTCTCGCATATCGCCCCATCTAATATATACCCAAATGTTGTCCGAACACAAATGCAAATCAACCCCAGAGAATTGTCATTTGCACGAGACGTGTCGATGATCGAGTGTTTGTGGTGTATCGATCGGTATTGTCTTGTTTCAGTTACCGCCTCCGCCGCATCTGCCTTTGGACGACAAAAGACTGTCACTGACGCCGCAGCAACAACAGGACATCGTCTCTAACAAACGTGAGTATTTTGTTATGCAGCTTGATTGGCTTGGGGGAAACTGGTTCTGAGAACATCTCAATTGTGGGAAATATACATTTGTTCATTTTTTATCAGTAGAAATATACAGTCTCAATTCGAAACTCAAAGGTACTTGAGTTTAAAAGCCACAACACGTCTCTGATCACACAATAATTACATCAATCTATAGAACAGTATCAGGAAAATTTCGGAGTGGTTGCACCTGCCGATTCTGAAAGAAAGTTTCTGAGAGAAAGTTTCAATTCCGCTTTCTGCTTCGATAAGTTTGTTGGAGTTGAAATGAATACCAATATGTCTTAGCACAACCATGTCGCTTAAATTGCAAAGGCTGCTTCTCGAAAACTCGGAACACTGTTCCCAACTAGAAAACTGTACACCGCAGCAACTTATGATGCTTTATAAAGCTCAGATCAGACGTCCTTTGGAGTATTGTTCTCGTGTATGGAGCTCCGCCCCTAAGCATACCCTGAAGCTGCTGGATTCCATCCAGAACCTTGACAGTCTGGATACCTTGATAGTCTGGAACATCAAAGAAAGGTTGGAGATTCGTCTCTCTTTCATAGATACTTTCACGGGAGATGTTCAAGTGACTTGGCACATGGTGGTGCATTTCCTATTTCCTATACAGAAAATTTAAAAAAGCGTAAAAAACCCTGGATAACACCTGGAATTAAGACGTCCTCAAGAAACATACGGTTAATAACTACCGTAGAATTTACCGAACTATTCTCAAGCTTGTTAAATCTAGCTATTTTCAAAATAGAATTAACTCTGCAAATAATAAAATGAAATAGACGTGATCCATAGTAAATGACCTGAGAGAGAATCCTAAAAAAAGGAACATTGTTAAAATTTCAATCAGTGCAGACGAAATCAATAATTGTCCCTTACGACCCTCTTATCAATTCATAGCTGTTATACAGAAGATACTTTTATATTATACGATACTAGTTTTGATGAAATCATCGAAGTGTTTAGGAATATTAGTAATAAAAAATCATCTGGATACGATGACACTACCATGAATATATTTCAGAATCTTAGCGCTTGAAACTCTTGTTGCAATAATTAATCTTTCTGGGAAAGAAAGTTTTTGACTTTCTACTATTCCATCTGATACAAAAAAGAGGGATGAGAGAATCTTCCAAATAAAGGAAGGAAGTAATCAATTTGAAACTCTATACATGAATGTGTAGATCATGCAAAGAAGTAACTTTCAGACACAAACTGAAAGAAAGTCCTCCTGAAACAGCTACTTTCATATAAACATTGAATTACACGAAAGAAAATAATTCTTTCGAAACAAATACTTCTATATGAACACTGAATTATACAGGAGGACTTTTTTTCAGTTTGTGTCTGAAAGTTACTTCTTTGCATGATCTACACATTCATGTATAGAGTTTCAAATTGATTACTTCCTTCCTTTCTTTGGAAGATTCTCTCATCCCTCTTTTTTTGTATCAGATGGAGTAGTAGAAAGCCAAAAACTTTCTTTCCCAAAAAATTAATCACTCCTAAAAATATAACCCCTTCAATTCAATTAATCTTTCGTTTCGCAACGGTAAATTTTCTTCATTCTTGTGATAATTTCCTTGCACAAAAGCGGTAGCTTAGATGATCCCTCTAAAAATCGTCCAATATCACTTATCCCGACCCTAGCAAAAATTATTGAAAAACTAGTGAAGAAAAGGTTCAATAAGTTCCTTATTGCTCATAAAATCATTAAAGAAAATCAATTCGAATTCCAGGCTAAACAGAACACCCAAGATGCAATTTTTTCCTTCCTGTATGAGGTATATTCACACATAAATTCCGGAGATGTAGCTGCAGCAATATTTTCTGACTTGAAAAACTCTTTCGACTGTGTAGACCACAAAATACTTTTGCGGAAACTACCTACATTGCTACGGCTGTGAGGGAGTTACTTTAGATTGGTTCGACTCCTATCTAAATGGGCGCAGTCGATGTATCTTCAAAATATATTAATTTGGTTCATGGAGTGCCACAAGGATCGGTTTTGGGGCCCTAACTTTTTCTTGTATATACTTTCCCTATCTGAATAAGGATCGTCAGACACACCCCTCCGAGGGGGTGCGTACTACAAAAAATCTGATTAGTCTGAAAGGTGTGCCTCTTCAATTAGAAATCGACGTGTCCGAGCTTTTTTTCAAAATCTTACTTTTTATATTGAAAAACCGCTCTGTTGAGTATTCGTTGTAACACACTGTATAATACAACATATAGAATCATAAACATTCTTTAACCACATCACCTTATTTCACCTCCTTTGACCCTTGTCAGCTCAACGAACAACATTTCTTCTATCCGTTTTTCGTTTAGAAGTATAAAACCGATTTTCATTCATGCCCATCTTTTGAATAGTTATTACGCTCAAACTAAAATCAAGTTGAGGGTGATATTCTATCCTGAAGATTGCCAAGACTATCGCCTGATATGCTCGTAGAGTGGTTGCGGAAAACGGTGTTGATCTGAAGTATTGAAGGTGCCATAGCAATAATTGTTTCAAACTTGGTTCATCAAATCAAATGAACGCCAAACGCTGTTGAAGAAAACTCTGTTATCATAATTGGATCCACAACAGTAATTCTATTAAAACCACACTCTCTATCCTATACGTGATCATTGTGTCGAAGTAATTGACTGTTTGTTTCAAAGCCTACTTGAATTTGTCAATTCATCAACTCTCGTCAATTGTACTGTTCGTCAGTTCGTCATCCATTCGAGAGTGATATTATTGTTTCCTGCCACTGAAAGGTCGAATCTAATGAAACTCATTCCGAAAAATTCATATCACAAAGAGAATTGTATTTGGGTTTGTTTCTGGTAATTTATACAGATAACTGTCAAAGCAATACATCAAAAAATGAATACATTTCGTTACGACTTCTGAACAACATTGGGAAGTTGGAAAAATCGCATTACAACAAGCGAGATGTGCTGGAAAAGTTGTTTCGGGGACTACTGGTATGAAATATACTTTGCTCATGAGCAGATGCTCTGAATTCGTTCGAGAAGTGCGTCAATAAATATGTATGAAATCTGTCAACAAATCTCCAAAAGGAAAACAGCAAAATTTAGGAAGAATTACTGAAAACCAGAGGACAGAGCTTCTACAGAAATAAGTTCAGCAATATGCGCAACTAAACACGACATGCTCAATAAAAACAATCGTTCAGAGAACATATATTCATCTTGCAAAACGTCTCTACAATTACTCACCTCTGAAAATCAAACTTGCAGCGACAACTGTTTCATTCAAAAAAGATGTCAAATGTTTCATTTCAGAAACAGATAGAATTTCTTCACATCGATTAATTGATGCGGTCAATTGCCTTACTATACTTACCCAGAGGAAATGGGTTCATGTTCATATTCCTTAAATATCCTTGTATTTTTTCTTATGCCCCTTAAACCGCATACATTACTCAAGTGTTCCTCAAATGCAGCAAAAATATGTATATGTCTACGGGTTGAATACACTATTCGAAGTCTAGTGTATTATACATCTAATTATTCAATAACCATAAAAGATGAAAGAACACCCACGCCCATGCAAGGCCTTAGTGAGTGTTCCTTCATCACTAAACGTATTTATGCCATGTAAGAACACTGTTGAAACTACCTACTGAAATGGGAACTAACGGGTGATTTTTCAAGCAGTATAGGATTTGATTTACAAAACAACACAAAACATTTTAAAAAATTGATGGAATCATTAATGGAATCGATAAAACGATCAATATAGCTCAATGTTTGGAGATGATTTCATGCAAATGTGGTCCGCGGCTCCGCTTTAGATGGCCCATGCGCAAGGTCCAATTTTGACACCCTTCCTCTAACATATAGACCGGTATTTCACGTATAAATGCTTCAATATTGGCTCCCAGAGCGTCAGTTGTTTCTGGTTCATTCCTGTAGACATGAGCCTCAACATGACCCCACAAGAAATAACCCAAAGGCGTTAAATCATATTTTCAATCAGGGTGTAGAAACTGGAAACTTTCCATCATGCTTAAAAACATCGATAGTAACTTCAATATATACAAGTGGAAGCAGAGAGGAAGTGGTTAACTACAGGCCAGTTTCATTAATAACAGACTTCAGCAAAATTATAGAAAAGTTATTTGAATCCAGACTAAATTCATTTATCCAAAAACACAAAATATTATCAAAATCACAATTTGGTTTTCAGGAAGGGCGATGCACCCAAAATGCAGCTAACTGATAGCATATACAAAGCACTAGATAGAAGCAAACCGTCAATTGGAGTTTTCATCGATTTATCAAAAGCATTTGACACATTTAAACACACCATACTATTAACCACTCTGGAGAACATTGGAATAAGAGGGAACGCAATCAAATTATTAAAATCATATTTGACAGATCGGAAACGAATCGTGAGAATTCAAAATATAAAGAGTACTGAAAGGAAAATTGATATGGAGTACCACAAGGAACGGTTTTAGGTCCGGTACTATTCTGTATATATGTGAACCAATTATTTTCTCTAGGATCGTCAGGTGAAATAACTAGTTTTGCAGATGACACTGCGGTTTTCTACTCTGGGGAAACCTGGCTTGAGGTCAAAGAACAAGCAGAAAAGAACCTGGAAATGATTAAAGATTGGTTTGATTACAAACAACTTTCCTTAAATTTCAACAAGGCGTTTTCCTTACTTTTCTATAATTATAAATCTTCCTTGCCACAATATCAATTCATAACTATATTAAAAATACATTCAGAATATCTTCAACGACAAATATAAAATACTTAGGAGTTTTAATAGATTCTCATTCGAGATGGAACTTCCATATAAATTATTTAGGGAAAAAATTAAGAACTATTCTTTATAAGTTCCGCCAACTTAACAACAGATTGGACCTGAAACAAAAAAAAATAGTTTATTATAGTTTTGTACAAAGTCATTTGACATACTGCCTAATAGGATGAGA